ATCCCCGATCAAGACCTTTATTATTATTATTATTTTTTTTTTTTTGGTTTTTCAAGACAGGGTTTCTCTGTGGTTTTGGAGGCTGTCCTGGAACTCGCTTGGTAGTCCAGGCTGGTCTCGAACTCACAGAGATCCGCCTGCCTCTGCCTCCCGAGTGCCCGGCGATCAAGATCATTTTTAAAAACCACCTTTTTTTTTTTTTTTTTTTTTTGAGACAGGGTCTCACTATGTAGCTCTGGCTGTCCTGGAACTCACTGTGTAGACCAGACTGGCCTCAAACTAGCAGAGATCCACGAGCGTCTGTCTCCTAAGTGCTGGCTGTTTCAGGATTTCTGTAGCTAAATTCTGAGGAATATTGGTCAGTAGATTACTTTATTTAGTTTTATTGTATTTCAACACCACCCCTTTCTTTCCTGGATTTGTTATTAGAGTAATGCTGGCCTTACACAGTGAATTAGGAACCTATCCTTTCTCTTCTGTTTTTAAGCAGGATTGGTGTTTTACCTGAATGTATGTCTGTATACCACATGGATACCTTGGGACAGGAGTTACAAGCAGGTGTGAGCTGCCATGTGGGTGCTGGGAATTGAACCTGGGTCTTCTGCAAGAGCAACAGAGCTCTTAACCACAGAGCCAACCCTTTAAACCCAAACTGTTTGTTTGGTTTTAGTTTTTTGGTCTTTTTTTTTTTTTTTTTTTTTGGTTTTTCGAGACAGAGTTTCTCTGTGGCTTTGGAGACTGTCGAACTAGCTCTTGTAGACCAGGCTGGCCTCGAACTCACCGAGATGCACCTGCCTCTGCCTCCCAAGTTCTGGGATTAAAGGTGTGTGCCACCACCGCCCGGCAGTTTTTTTGGTCTTTTGAGACAAGGTTTCTCTGTGTAACAGCCCTGGCTGTCCTAGAACTTGTTCTGTAGACCAGGTGTCCTTGAACTCACAGAGATCCGCCTGCCTCTGCCTCCGGAGTGCTGGGATTAAAGGCGTGCGCCACCACTCCCCAGCTATTAGCCCCCCCTTTTTTTAAATAATCTAGCCCTTATCAATTTGCTCTAAATCAAGGACAACTTTGAACTTTTGATTCTCCTGCCTCCACCTCCCCAGTGCTGGGGTTACAAGAAATGCCACCACAACAGATGTACGTGTTGCTAGGGGTTGAAGGTAGGGTCTTGTGTGTGCTAGGTCAAGATTCTACCAATTGAACTGCATCATCAGACCCCAGAGTTGTTTCTTGTGCCTAGAGAAGGCTCAGAGACGTGCATATCCTGCTCTCCCAGAGGACCTGAGTCCAGTTCCCAGCACCAATGAGAGGTAGCTTGAAGCAGCCTGAAACAACTGTAGCTCTTAGAAGAGCTAATGCCTCTGGCTTCTCTGGGCACCCAAATATATATGCAATAGCCCTCCCCCCATACACAATTAAAAAACAGGTTTTGTTTCTTGAAAAAAAAAGTTGAGGTTTTGCCAACTAGCAAAGTGAGGAGGCATATACAACTAAATTCAGAAATAGTAATGGAGACAATGCTATTAATATGGAAAAATCAAAAGAAGAATTGAACACCAACAAATTAGATAATCCAGATGAAATGAGCAAATTCCCAGAAATATAAAGTTTTTGAAGTTATTAGCTACTTTTCTTATCACTGTGACAAAAAAAAAAACCTTACAGCAGTTTAAGAGAGGAGAATATATTTTGGCTCATAGTTTGAGAATAAGTCTATCATGGCATGAACAGCATGGTGCGAGGAGCATGAGGCAGCTGTTTACCTTGTGTTGTCTATCAGGAACAAAGAGACTGCCAGAAACTAAGCTATAAGCTATACGGTCCCTGGGAACTCCATAATACACTTGCTCCAGCTAGGCCAGGCTCCATCTCCTAAAAGTTCTACAGCTCCCAAAATAGTGCCACTACATGCAAACCAGAAAACATTCACAGTAAATAGATCTTGAACCTCTAGTCATCCTAATCTCAAGAAAAAAATTCCTGTTGTTTCTGGCACCTATTGATAGTTTTAATAGTCTGAGCAGACACACACACACACACAGAAAAAATGAACCTTAAATACATTGTGCTAAGTGAAATTAGCTGGTCATGAAACACAGCTATGATCCCATTAAACACATTCCTAGAGAGAGAACATTCAAATAGCCACAGCAGAATAGAGCTTGTAAGGCAGGGAAAGTGGTAATGGAGAGTTATTGTTTAAAGAATAAGTTTCTGTTGCAGATGATGAAAAAGTTCTAAAAATGAAAATGGTGGTAGTTACTTAGTTATGTCAATTTATTTCATAGCATACTTGGGTTAACATGGCAAGGAGTGGGTAAAAGTGTTTTTATTTATTCTATATTTTTTTCCAGACAGGGTTTCTCTGTGGCTTTAGAGACTGTTCTGGAGTTAGCTCTTGTAGACCAGGCTGGTCTTGAACTCACAGAGACCGGCCTGCCCCTGCCTCCCGAGTGCTGGGATTAAAGGTGAGCACCAATCAACTCCTTGCCAAGTAAAAACTATTTTAAAAAAGAAAAATCTTAAAACAAAAATTGGGAGTGGTGGCACATTCCTTCAATCCTAGCACTAACGGTAGAACCAAAGGTAGGTTAAATAAAGTTTAAAAATTAAGTTGAAAATATGAGTTGGTTTACTTATTCCTGTTATTTTTTTGAGACAAGGGTCTCACTGTATATCCCTGCCTAGCTTAGAACTCACTATGTAGATCAGGCTGTGTGTGTGTGGGTCTCTGCAACCTTCATGACCAGCAGAGTGACATGTTGAGGGAGTCAAGAAGGTAGTTCGGTTCAGCATGACTCAGTAACCTGTGTTGGTTCAAACTTCTAGGGTCTGACTTCAAGTGGTTTATTTTTGGCATAAATAATAAGCACAGCACATTTCAGTGAAAACTATCTTGGTGATAATTAACTCAATTCTGTGTACAACGAAGCATACTAAGTCTCCTTGAGGAACAAAGTAAGCTAAGCACAGATAAGACAGATTGAAACTCTTTGTAAAGGACTTAAAGATAGGTTCTATAGATTGGCTAGAGGATGGGTCTGTGCTGGGAAAAGCCTTCTGGCCGCACAGATGTGGAAGAGGTCACCAGGCTAGAAAACACATCTGCTTCAGCCTTCTGAGCAGGCAGCAGGTATTGCATATTGCATTCCTTCTCTTGAAGGAACAATCCCTGACTGCTTAACATTCCAGGTAACCAGAGCACTCATTTGCGATCATAAAGACCTCCATGCCTCCTATGAGGCTGTTCCTAGACTCACTCCTGCCTCTGCCTCTGCAGGATTTAAGGTGTGCACTGCCACACTCCACATTTAAAATTTTAAAGAATTTCCTTTTGCCGGGCGTTGGTGGTGCACGCCTTTAATCCCAGCATTTGGGAGGCAGAGGCAGGTGGATCTCTGTGACAGCCTCCAAAACAATATAGAGAAACCCTGTCTCAGAACCTCTCCCCAAAAATTGTAAATATGTAAATAAAGCTAAATTTGTAAATTTTGGATGTGTGTGTGCATTATTTGGGCTTAGAATAAGAGGAGTGCTACTTAGGCTAAACTCAAGATTACATACATTCTGGTCCTAAGTAAATATGGTTGAAGCCTTGTTTTGACCATAGTTGCTGAAGAATCTCTAGGAAAGGAGCATTATTATCAGCTTTCCTCCGTAGATCTTTAGATGTCTTCTGAACTCAGGCAGTAATTGTAGGTTTGTTTTCCTGAGAGAAAGAGGCCCTGTAGCAATTGAATATTCATTTTGCTAACCCTCACAGAGAAGTAGGGAATGAGCTACCATGGCCTGGAGAGGTTTCCTTTTACTTGGGCAACTATAGCTAGTAAATTGGTGAAGCCAGTTTCCAGCCTAGATAGTCTGGCAGCTGAACAAAGGGTTGATCTCTCTAGTGTTTGGTATTCTTAGTGGTTTTGTTTTTGTTTTTTTGTTTTTTATGAGACAGGGTTTCTCTGTATTGTTTTGGAGGCTATCGGTCCAGCCCGGCCTCGAACTCACAAAGGTCCGCCTGCCTCTGCCTCCCGAGTGCTGGGATTAAAGGCGTGCGCCACCACCGCCCGGCATTGTTAATCTCAGCAGTCTGGAGGTAGAAACTAGCAGATGGAACTCCTTGAACTCAAGGCCATCCTGGTCTATACATGGAGTTCTTGGCAGGTCGGTGTTACACGGTGAGAACCTGTCTCAATAAAAATAAGAGAGAAAGAACACTAGGTTAGAAAGGTGGGGAAGATCTGGGAGGAGAAAGAATATGACCACAATACATTGTATGAAAAATTTTTCATAAAAGCTTAATGCGATAACAGAAAAATGCCACCCACAATGCGTTTGCACTGCAGGTTCCAAAGCTTTTTATTAGGTATTTTCTCTTAGAAGATACTAGTTTTGGAAACTAATTTGGCAGGGACTGGAACCAATGCTCAAAATTTTAGGTGCCCAGGTATTCATAGCTTGTAGGTGACGCTAGAAAATCCCACTACACTGGTTCCAAACTCCATACTTCTAAGTAATACTATGTAAAGCACTGCCGGGCGGTGGTGGTGCACGCTTTTAATCCCAGCGAATCTTTGTGAGTTCAAGGCCAATCTGATTTTACAAAGTGAGTTCCAGGTCATCCTCCAAAGCTACAAGAAACCCTATCTTGAAAAATTTATTCTGGTCCTAAATAAACGGTTTTTAAAAGGGGTAACTGGTTCAGAACCTAGCCAGTACACAAAAACACCACTGCCAACTAATGGCAGGAAAGACATTGTTTTCCTTAATAATAACGGTAATAAACTTTACACACAGAACTAGAGAAAGTGCTTTTCTTACAGAAATTAACACAGAATGCGGGGGTTGGGAGTGACTTCCCGCCAGTCAGTGGCCCCGGGGCAGGTCTGACTGCTCAGGTGAATCCTGGCCTCCCGGCTGGAGATTGCTGAGATTGCTGTCTAAATCCTTCGAGCCCCGGGCGCCCTCGCCCCAGGCGCCGGCCTGCCCTTCACCCCGGCTCGGCCCACCGCGCCCGACGCCCTAGCGGAGCGGGCGGGGGCAGCCTATAGGCCCCACCCCGGCGCCCAGCGGCAGTCGCGCAAGCAACGGAGGAGGCGGGAGCGCCCAGGCCGCTGCGCTCATGGCGTCGCCCGGGTGAGTGAGGCTCCGGTTGCGCAGGGGGCGCCTCTTGGGCGAGGGGCGGGCCGAGCGGTGCGCGTCCCCGGCCCGGCGCCCCCTCTGCCTCAGGCTCGGCCGGACCCCAGGTGACCCTGTCCCGCCAGGTGCCTGTCCACGACCCGCGGCCTCCCCCGCCGACCTTGGGCGGTCGTGGCCCGGGCCAGGGTCTCCCTGCAGGATCGCGGTCGGGACCGGTCGGGACAGCGGCCGGGCAGGGTCCGGGAGTCCGAGAGACGGAGCCTGGATCAGCGCAGCGGGGAGGCTGAGGAGGGGACTCGGGGTCCTAGGTCGGCTGAGGCCGCAGAGGCTTAGCAGGCCCGATGTGTGTTTCTGGCGTTTGTAAGCTTGCGTTGGAAGTTGATGCTTGTGTTCACTGTCAGTGTCAGGGTCAGAGGGATTCAGCTGGACCCTTGTCAGGTCCGGGATCGAAGGCCCTGCCTGTGTTTGAGTGGGGGTGGGGGCTTCTGGGGACCGCTACACTTGTTCTGGTATTATCTCTTTTCTAGTGCTTTTCCTTTTTAAAATAATGTCTTCTTAGGAAATTACAGTAACACATATAGTTTGTATTTATTTAATGAAAAACTATCCTAACCGTTTTACTAGTTACGAGATCTGAAATGACATGATTAGACCAATGCCTTTATGTCACAGAAAGGAAAATGGGACTCAAGGTCATAGCTTTAGTTGGTAAACATCTTTTTTGACTTACCCCATCATTGAGAGGCTCTTAGACCCAGTGCTACCGGTAGTAATTCAAGCAGTGTGGCAGTTCAGAGGGCTCCCAGGTGCAGGACTTTGGGGTGGAGCAAATAGATGCTAAGCCTCCTACAAAGGCGGTCTACGCTGTGCTGTGGAGTGATCGCCACAGTGGTCTGAATGAAGGTGAATGAAGCAATCTGAACTTGATCCTTGCCTGCAGGCGGCCAGCCACATCATGGGCAATTTCCACCTGCCTAATGCCTTTCTAGACTTGAGGGCCAGCAGGCTCTTCTGGGAGCCAGCCTTTTCATTGCCAGCGGAGTATCTAGTACTTTGAGCTCATAAGGAGAATAAACAGTGACCCATGCTGGGAAGGCCAGGCTGATGGACCCAGAGGTTCAAGGTCCCTTTGCATTCTTACCCTGCCTGTTAGGAAAGTGTGAGACAGGGCCTCTTGGAAGCACCATGAAAATCTTTGAGCCTTTTGGGGGCTTCCATTAGGCTTGTAAGAAGTCATAGCACATTTCATGTCTAAGCACACTGCTTTGTAAACATGAGTCAGAGGAGGACCTACTGTTGACTCAATTCTGTGGGCCAGTAATGCCTGAACCACGGTCTGTCTATATAGTGGGTGGTGTTTAATGTTTGTGGTTCTAGTTGTTGTGAGTGACCCAGTGAATTTGGGGTATATAGTAATTTGTAATTTCTTAAGGGATGTCTATTAGCAAAATTTTTTTTTGGTTTTTCGAGACAGGGTTTCTCTGTATTGTTTTGGGAGCTGTCCTGGAATGCTCTGTAGACCAGGCTGGCCTCGAACTCACAGAGATCCGCCTGCCTCTGCCTCCCGAGTGCTGGGATTAAAGGTGTGTGCCACCAATGCCCGGCTTAGCAAAAATTTTAATAGACTTAGAAACTCTGCTTAGTTTGATATGCATATACTTACTGACTACAGTTTATATCTCTAGAGCTTACATTCAAGCATCTTCTTTAATAGGCAGCACTGGTAGGTGTGGGACTCCTGACCTGTTACTCAGCTAGCTGCCTGTAATTTCTTTGTTTTTAAGCTGGGGTCTGGCTAATGTAGCCATGGCTGAGGCCTCAAGCTCACAGAGATTTCCCGGCCTCCAACTATTACCGTTAAGCTTCCTTGCTACATTAGATGCTTTAGACAGCAAGTGCCGAGCAGTGCATGGCAGAGTTGGAAGGAGCTGCTGGGGGTGGTGGGGGTGTCTCTAAATCTGTCGTTCTTTGGTAAGTGGCAATCTCAGTGATATCATGGTAGAGCCATCGAGGAAAGAAAAAGTCTGACCCGGTTTTGAGGACCTTACAGATGTGCTGGATATGGTGTGAAAAGGTGTGTTTGAGAAATGACCCGTAACCCACTGTGTCTCCAACTAGGTAGAATCAAGACCAGTAGAAAAGGTGGACCATGGGCTCTTTGCCTACCATTGAAAGGCATTTCCAGTCAGCATCATCACAGCTCTGGGAGAATCTTCGTAACAGCAGTGTAGTGGGGAGAGGGACAGGAGACACCACACAGAGCTCACCCACTTGCTACCATCTTGCCCATTTCTGGACTGGTGTCACTCCTATTACTAATCAGCTGACTAGGGCTTTTACTCTACTCATAGAAATCACAGGCGGTGACTAGAGTCTCTTCAAGGGCTAGTCTTTGGCAACTTTGATTTCTCCATGGTCAGAGCAAATGGCAGCCGTTATGGGGAGCAGCAGCAGGTAGTACCTTCTTGTGTTATTCCTGGGCAAGCTTTATGTGTTGGGACCCTTATTCCCACAAGGTTATGATATATAGGCTTCAGAAATTAGGATTCCTGGTGTTTAAAATCACTTAGACCTGGGTTCTGATATCATTGCTGATAAAGACAGTTCTTTGGAGCTCTGCTGGTATCCAGGGCCTGCTGTTTCTCTCCTGCCTTATTTATTTATTTATTTATTTATTTATTTATTTATTTATTTATTATTAAGTATACAGTGTTCTGCCTGCACGCCAGAAGAGGGCACCAGATCTCATTACGGATGGTTGTGAACCACCATGTGGTTGCTGGGAATTGAACTCAGGACCTCTGGAAGAGCAGCCCGTGCTCTTAACCTCTGAGCCACCTCTCCAGCCCTTAAGGAAGCATTGTTAAACGATGGATTATCTCTATAGCGATGCCAGGCTCATCTGCCTTCTTCAGCTTTTTTTAAATCTTTGCCCATCCTTCCTTCTTTGCTTTCCTTCTCTACTTCCACCCTTCTTCCCGCGCAGCCTGCTCTTCAGTCTGCTGGGCAGTCTGCTGCCTTGCTCTCCTAGTGTCCTGCTGATTGCTGAGGTATTGCGGCTGCTGCTGTTTTATTGTCCATTTTACCATTTCCTTGCTGTATTTATTCCTGTTACCAGCTCAGCCCAGACTATTGAAAGTGGGTAGGAAAAGAAGAATACTGGAGAGAAACCTTTTTTTGTTTTTTTTTTGTTTTTTTTTTTTTTTGAGACAGGGTTTCTCTGTATTGTTTTGAAGGCTGTCCTGGAACTCACAGAGATCCGCCTGCCTCTGCCTCCCTAGTGCTGGGATTAAAGGTGTGCGCCACCAACGCCCTGGTGAGAGAAACCTTTTTGTTTTGTTTTGTTTTGTTTTGTTTTACGAGACAGGGTTTCTCTGTATTATTGTTTTGGAGACTGTCGGTCCAGCCTCGCCTCGAAATCACAGAGATCCGCTTGCCTCTGCCTCCCGAGTGCTGGGATTAAAGGCGTGTGCCACTACCGCCCAGCGAGAGAAACCTTTTATTGAGCTTAATGTCACAAAAGCAAGGAGGCTGCACTGGAGAGTGCCTCTGACCACTAAGTGAGCCTGAGTAGCTTGACTAGCAACTGTTACTTTAAGAGTGATATTGTCCCATCTCCTAATATCTTTATCTCCTGAAAACGAACTGTAAGTGCTGTTGATTAGGGCTAGAGATACAGTTTGGTTGGTGGAAAGTTTCCCCGGCATGTACAAAGTCCTGGGTTCAGTCCTCAGCACTGCACAAACTGGGCCTGGTGGCTCATGCCTGTAATTCTAACACCCAGGAAATAGAGGCAGGAGGATCAGAAGTTCAATCAAGGCCATCCTCTGTTAAGAGAGGTCAGCCTGGAATACATCGAAACCTGTTTTTTTGTTTTGTTTTGTTTTTCGAGACAGGGTTTCTCTGTATTGTTTTGGAGGCTGTCCTGGAACTAGCTCTTGTAGACCAGGCTGGTCTGGAACTCACAGAGATCCGCCTGCCTCTGCCTCCCTAGTGCTGGGATTAAAGGCGTGAGCCACTGCCTTCTGGCTGGGAACCTGTCTTAAAATAAAAGCGAACTTTGAATAGAAGTGATTTTAACAGCGCTTGCATTTGTCCACTCCCAAAGGAGACGTAGCTGGGTCTGCCGGTCTCAGTCTCCTCTTCCCACCTACCTCGATCTTCTTGTCTGGTCAGGGATGCTTTCCCTTTGATGGTTGGGGTGTCCTCAAGCTTTGTAGTCCATCTCTGCTAATCTCAACATATATTCTGCATTATCATGTCTGTTTCTGTGGGTTTAACTGTTGGTTCACAATTTACAGGTAGGTTTCTAGGAGTCTCCTCATTCTTTGAAATTATGAGCAGTATTGGGGTGGTATGCCTTTTACTGGGATCAAAATTTAGCTATTGTGGGGTTCAAACAAGGTATGACTATGTACCCAGGCAGGCGGCGGTCTCTGCAATGTTGTGATTACTGACCTTCACCCTGTGCTCAACCCACCCTATTTCTGAAAGCATTCTTACTCTTACAGGCTACAGTCGTCCATCCTGAATTCCCTGGGGTATCTATGCCGTGGTTTTCACAGGAGTCCATTCTTTCCACCTTTGCATAAGTTCTGGAATTGAACTCAGGGTGTCAAGTTTGCACACAAGCACCCTTTCAACTTTTTGTAGGACTCTCTCTCTTAAAATAATTATGTAGGGGCTGGAGAGATGACTTAGTGGTTGGGAGTATTGGCTGCTCTTCCAGAGGACCTGGGTTTAATTCTCAGCACCCACATAGCAGCTCACAACTGTCTGTAACTCTAAGATCTGACACCCTCACATAGACACACGCTACAGGCAAAACACTAGTGTACATAAAACAGAAATAAATAATAAAATACTAGTGTCAGTTTCCCCATTATCTTGAGAAGATTTCTTCAAAGATACCCAGCAAATCTCTGAAACTGGCTAATATTAAACTATTTGAGACAGAGTCTCAGGCAGACTCAAAGTCACCACTGTATACCTGAGGG